GCAGATGCGTCTATCCATGTATGTTAATAAACCATAAAGAAGTGAAAATCGAAGAAAACTCGAATTGGTGCGTTTTGGAACTCATTTACTGGTAAGAAAAAAGTCGCTTGAATTTAAAGTCCAGACTCTAAATAGCATTGACAAGAAAATATAATCTTGATTCAATCCGATTTTTCCTTGAATCAAAGCGCCGAGCCTCTTGATTTAGGTGAACTTCCTTTTGATTCAAGCAAAAAGTCCAATTTCATTGAGAGTATTTTTTCTTGTCAATGTTTTAAGAGTCTGGACCTAGATCCAACCGACTTTTTTTCCAGTGTTTCATTTACGTTCTCATGGAAATGGCAAGGATTTTGTCCGCGCTGAGAAATTTCCCAAAACTCCACTTTTCGTCGACAACGTCACGAGCAAGCCCTGTGATTACAGCTAACTCACCCGGTACGAGTTTGATGACAGGGACACCCGCCGATCCACCGACGTGCCGGGCTGCACAACAGGTGTAATCACGCCGTGCGCCGCTCGAGTATTTCCATGCTTTCACTGAAACTTTACACCCGCATAAAGCGGCGGTTAGCCTCCGCGACTTGCCTTTTTTCAGCAGCCGAGGGGGGGTGGGGGGCGGTGCGGGGGTGACCGGGCTAAAAAGTCACGCAATCCGTCCATGAAGCCCACTTTCCTTTTCGTGATTATTTCCGAGCAAGCTCGTGCTCATCGAGGATTTGCTTGACGGAATATTATAATGACCATGTTAACCTCAGTCCTCCGTGTTTTGCATGTCACGTTGTCACACGGAGATATTGCCTCGTACAAGGGTCCCTCCGATCTGGCGCAGCTTTCCATTTCCGAATGCGTTTTTCCCGACAATAGATCGTATTCGATACATTAAACAGGTGAGATTATTTCGATATCGATTGGTTCAAAACATAAACATAGCCTCAAAAGTCAATTGAGTATAATTCCTCAACCTCTTCGGGTTGGATAATCAAAACGCTCAAGGCAACCCCTCGGGTCTCGGTGATCGAATACCATTCAATTATCTTACTCTATAATATAAAATCATAACAGTAAGAGCATGCCGTAACGCATAATGCCTCGGGTGCGAAACGCATCAGGGGATCGGGCCGTGAAGCGGTCAGGGGGCACGCCTCTCATACCGATCGAATACATGCTCGACACGGAAGTTGAGCGATTCATAACCGAATAATCACAACACACCATCCTTAATTCAGTCATATGAAGCAAATAAGTCCTTAAAAAGAAAAAAACTCATGTAATGGCACCATACATATTACAAATCTTTTGTGGTAATTTTTTCCGAATGGGCCTGTTGCATGCAAGAGATACAGCCGTGCGAATAGACTTTTTAGTGGTTAAATGACACGAAAATTACGATGCTCACATTAAAAAAGTCTGAAATACACTCCTTACTGCGCAATTTGCGTTGTCAGGAACGCGCTTTTTCAAATTTCCCGCGTCTGGGGGCAGTTTTCTAACGGAAACAATTAACGGCAACTCGCGGCTATTTCCGGTCAACTAAAACTGACAACATAACCTAAAAATCGGAGCTCGTGATATCGTGAAATGAAATGTAGAAGGATTGCGTTGGATACTTAAAAGTTGATCGATTTGGTTACTGCATAAAGCGTATATGGACCACTATAAGAGATCACGTTGGGTTTGTAAACAAACTGAAGGAAAAAATAACAACAACAACAACAACTCGACATCTTCCGGAAATCACCGAGCCCGCCGTTTGCTCGTTTCCGGTGATTAGAAAACTGCCCCCAGACGCGGGAAATTTGAAAAAGCGCGTTCCTAACAACGCAAATTGCGCAGTAAGGAGTGTATTTCAGACTTTTTTAATGTGACCATCGTAATTTTCGTGTCATTTAACCTCTAAAAAGTCTATTCGCGCGGCTGTATCTCTTGCATGCAACAGGCCCATTGTCGCTCTTCTGACGTAAGGGCGTATCTCGATTCCCACGTGAACCCTGCGGGCTGATTGCTGGAATTGATAGACAAAGCTATAGACAAATAAGACAGAGGAGATATGGAGGGATCCTATTGGCGGAAGCGGATGGTTGCAATGGACAAAGGAGGTGATAGACAAGCTAACGGCAACCCACGAGAGACCCTATGGTTAATCCATCATTTACCTCCTTATTCTATAAGATCCACCCTTTTCAACCAATAGGATCGCTCCATACTCCTTAAATCTTTTTTGTCTATCGTTTTGTCTATCAATTTCGACAATCAGCTCGCTGTTCACATATAAATCCATCTAGGGCTCATGTGGAAATCCAGATACGCCCTTTTGTCAGAAGAGCGACAAAAGGGGACAAATATCCACAACTTTCTTTTGAAAGGAATGCCTTGTATGGGGAAGTTTGGCAACTCCGGGATGTTTATACGGCGTTTTTTCTTAGCATGACAGCGTATGCGGACAATCGTATCACAATCTTTGAATGTATCCTTCAAGGCTTTTATACCTAATGAGGGAACTCGTCTCTCCCCAAGCTCGANGGGGGGGGGGGGGGGGGGTTAGAAGAGTCGGCAAAGAACGATGAACAACACTTTGATGCAAAAGAAGATGCAAACACTAAGGAGGGAGTTTTTGGGTCAAGATTTTTCCCCGGGAGCTTTCCTCTGGATATGTGACTACAGAGGCGGCAACTCGACGATTCTCACCTCGGTTTTCCGGCGTCATCAAAGAAAGCTTTCCAATTCCGAGCGCCACGCGCCGCACAGTGGATCGAGTCGATTAGAAAGAGCGGACATAAAATTTTTGACCAAAACTGCAAATTTTGATGCTTCTTTCGCTACATTTTAAATTTTAAGGGGCGTTTATTGGGTTATAGGACATTTCGTCAACGATTTTTTGTCCGCGCACCTATTTTTTCCAGTAATTTACGTCGACGCGTTCTTTCGGCGCGTGAGTTTTAGTCCACGTGCCAGTTGAGACCCAAAGTTAATTGCCCCACATGATGAAAATGTAAAATATTTTGGAAGAATGAGGGTTTGCTTGTTTTTTCCATGTTTTTTTTCCTCTGGTCCAACAGAGAATAATATATAGTTAAGAGTTTTGGTAAAAATGGGGGAGCATCAATTCCATGAGACAAAATTCAATAAAACTCTTTACACCTCTTTGGTGTATCAGGACTTAATTATCTTTCAAGAAATTCCCACCGTGTTATATACCTAAACCGGATAAACCTCTATATTTGCCTCAGCTAAAGGCTCTTAGATTTTTCCTGTGTACGATAAGTATTTTGATTTATCTTGCGAGGAAATATCTGTACTTTTAAAGGATACATGTCATTCATAATACGTTCAATTTCGTATAATACTGTGCAACTCCTCTGTTGTGAAATAGCTGCTTCAGGCGCCGCCGGGCGGGCGGCCAGCGCGAAACGCGCATTGGCGCCTACAAACCTAAGTGAATACTTCAAGCATTGTGCAATGCGTGAAGTATCCACTTAGGTTTGTAGGCGCCAGTGAGCCTCTCGCGCTGGCAGCACGCCGCTACAATATTTACGTTGTGCAAGGCTTTAAAAAACCAGGGATGGCCAGAATAAACAATCTCTCGGCTAGAAAACGTCATAAAAGCGCATGCCTTTCCGCAAAGAACTAAAACTTTTTTTTATTCTCATAAATAAACGGCTATTATTCAACTCACAAGAAAAATGATCAGACCATTATAATCCGATTTCACCTTACACTCTTTGTATTTATTCCTCTCCTCCGTTTAATCATTTCCCTTTTGTTTTCTCTTCTTTTCCTCTCTTTTGCTTGTAAACGCCACTCTAATAGAAATGCATCGAACCATTTAATGTGACTTTCATGAGAAGCATTGAAATTTTTTGACCTCTCTATAGAATTCTTTGGCTTAGGACGTACCGACAAAGTTTTTCTGATTCAGAGTAGTTTATATTTCCATTGTGATTTCTTTTTTAAATGTCAAGCTCGTATTCTTGAAAGAATCTCGTTGTTTAACGTTTGTCTCGGATGACTGTACAGTTGGAAGTCGTCTACTTGACTTAGTAAAAGCTTTTGAGGATCTCACAAGCTCTCTTGAAGTGTTCCCTTTGTTGCGCCGAGGAAATCTCTTCGAGGGTTTGTTGCAATTTGAACCTTGCCCTGTCTCTATTCTCTCCTATATTCCTTTAATTTTACTTTTTGCGTCGAATAACGGCGAAGACCAGCGTACAACACATAATGTAGATTTACCTTGTCCTCTCATAATTTATATCAGTCCAATAATTATAATCACTTTATATAATGATATATTCAACTCACAAAATACTTGATGGTTCAGTAAGTTGTGTATTTGAATTTTCAAGGACAAAATCACGCGTAGAACAAATTTAACAAATATGTACAACATTTTTAAAAATGGCAATAGATGCGCTGCAATATTACTTACCCATAACATTTTTAGAAAAAAATTCCATTTGTGTAATAAAATTTCGTCAAATTTGGTAAAATATGAATCAATTATGGCACAAAAAATTCTAAAATACGCGGCCAAAATATAGAAACTTTGTCCAACGTTTCTAAACAAAACCAGCGATCGTATTTAAATATCATAATGAGTGCCATAAAAATACCATTAAGTTCATAATATTGGGCAATATTAAACATATTTCAACTCTGTAACTCGGTTTTGCAATCAGTTTATTGCTAAACAATCCAATGACCGGAGGTAGTCGGCCGGTTCCGTGGCATGAGCCGATATATCGATTGTTATGCAATTTTAACCTATTGTAAAGAATCGATTATTAAGGTGTTCGCTGCTAACACCCTGTTTATCTATCCTTTTCCATAGGTTTAAATGGTATTACAATCGATATATTGCAAAGCACGCCACGCCACTGGCCGAGAGTTTCGGTCCTCGTGACACTACTCACAACCCCTTTTAAGGGCTGAACGATGAAGGGGTTGGAGATGAGGACGCGGATGGCGGAAGAAGGGTGATTAATTCCATTTCCGGTTTTTGGTTTCAGACGGTGATTGCAGGATGATCCCCGACTACTCGGCCAGCGGCGTCATGAATGGGCAGCAGATGAACACGGACGGTCTCATCCTCCCTCGAAAGCCTCACAACCCTTGCATGGACTCCATGGAAAGGCAAAACCTCCACAGGGAACTTCTCCTCAATCAAAAGATGTAAGTACATCGTCCGCTCCTGTTGCAGCGTAACGGCCTAGATACACACGCACTGGGAAAAAAAAACACATTGGATCTAGAGTCCAGACTCTTAAAAACATCGACAAGAAAAAGTGCTCTTGATTCAATCAGAATCTAGCTTAAATCAAGAACCAAGCCTCTTAATTCAAGCGGATTTCGTTTTGATTCAAGCAAAAATCTGATTGAATCAAGAGTATTTTTTCTTGTCAATGTTTTCAAGAGTCTGAACTCTAGATCCAATGTGTTTTTTTTTCCAGTGCGGCGATTAAACGCCGCGAGTGAAAGACGGAAGCCAATGGAGAGCCTTGATTTCGATATATCAACGTCAATGTATCGAAATCAAGGCTCTCCATTGGCTTTCGTACTTCACTCGCAGCGATTAATCGCCGTGTGTATCTAGGCCCTAACCGTCCCTAAATCGATTTGTAGCAAGGCAATGCTGCCGTGATAGCAAAGAGAGCAGTAAGTGCAAAAATGAAGTTTTGAGAAAACGGGCTCAGAAGCCTCTGACCGGAAAATTTCATCGAAAGAGGCCCCCGTTCTTTGTCAAATTGCCACTCATCCTCCGAAAGACTCCTAGAAATCGTTTGGATGATTAAAAGTCGACTGATTTTATTTCAATTACATAAAAGGGGTGTTTTTCATTTTCATGCTGGGTTCTTGTTAGGAAAGACAGCCGTGGATTCAAACCTGTCGCCTTCAATATTTCGATAGGCAATATACGCGGCCTGGGAGTAGTAATAGTTGCTCGCAGCAGTTGGGCCACGCGGAATCGGTTTGTTCATAGCCATTGACTGCTTTCGCATTGTTTCTCACTTGCTACAATACCAGTTCGCCTTCAACATCTTGTTAGGCAATGTGAGCGGCTTGAGAGCAGTTATGGTTGCTTGCAGCAGTTTTGTCATGTTTGTTCACTAGTATCAAGCATAGCTACAGTCAGTCAGCTGGATAGCCAATTTTTTATTGGTCACGCGATTTGAAGCGCGGGAAAACACGTTCATAAGCTAAGCATTGATTTAAGAGGATTTTAGTGGTAAATCTCTCGAAAACCCACCGATATAAGACTGCCAAAACTTTGAAAACTCAAGCACAAGAATGCTGATTTAATCAATTAAACTTTAAAAAACGGACTAAAATGCAAGGAAAAGCAGTTAGACTGACAGTGACGGCATCGCTCATTTAACACACATAATTTTGACCGATCTGGATAAGCGGATAGTACATTTTTGGCGATCCGAGAACCTGCTTTGATTCTAGGTCACCCCAGGCAAGACTCGAACAATTTTAGGAAAGATAAAGACGGAAGCAACAGTAACATTTCCTTGAATTCATAGTATGGAGGTATGAAAGTTAGAGAGCTCAGGCTCCGGCAGATCACAGGTATTGAAGAGGATGTCGAGGTATGTAAAAGGACTTCAAAGTACCCACGACAAAGGATCCGCAACCCTCATTACGCGTATGAAAAAGTAAAAAGCGCAACTAATGAATTATTCTATGGTGCATTTCACACAAAAGCCTCGCCGATGCGACTAATTAGTTATTGACACAGTCCGGGAACTGTGCCGTGCTAAGACAGAACGCCGTATGAACATCCGAGAGTTGCCTAATTTTCCTCGATAAAAAATATACTTTTGACGACATTCATACGTATTTTTTCTTGAAATTTTCAGATATCTTAGATTAAATTGCGTACCAAATTATCTGACAATTTTGGGGGAACATATTTACAATTTTCTCAATAAACTCGGTTTTCATCGAAGGAAACTTGGCAACGTCTGAAAGCTCATACGGCGTTCTTCCTTGAACACGCTTCAAAGGGTCGGGACTTGTGAAATAACAATATTGGTCTTGTCAGCTGAGGCTATATCTGCCATGCCAAGGAAAAACGCCGTATGAACCTTCGTCAGCCGCCAAATCTATTTTGATTGAATACGAATTCTCAGGAAAACTTGAGAATATTTTCCGTTCAATTTTTCAGCAAATTTTCCTCGTAATTAAATCAGATCAAAATGATCTGGAAATTTCAAGCGAAAATACCCATGACTCTCCTCAAAAATCAACATTTCATCGGAGAAAATTTGGCAACTCTCGGATGTTCATACGGCGTTTTTCACTAGCACGGCGGATATCCTCTAATTTGATCAGATCCCCGTACGGAGATGAGGCGGATTATGACGTCATTTGGCAAACCTGGTGACAACATACGGTACGGACTCGCGGTAAAATTGAAACTGGAGCTGTGAGGCTTCCGCGCTCGGTGCCTCTGCAATGCCGCCCCGGCTGGCGACCTATATTCCCGGGCGATCGTCCCATCCCGGCCCCAGCTACCTACGGTTTGAACTTTGGCCCTCCCGAGTTCCCGAGTCCTGCGGCCCGCCGATTCGAATCCGGTCCACTTCCAGTAAACTTCCGAGGGCTAATCTAATCTGTTTTGCCCCTCCATTTTAATCCTTTTTTTATTATTTTAATTCATCGTTGGATAAACGTAGAGTTCAGAATTTTTTTTTGTTTTTGCCCCTCCGCTGATGAAGTTGCACTAAAATGCAGGATCTCGGTAAGTAGAGAGGAGAGCTGATGACGGTGGCCTGGGTATCTGTCGAAACGCGTCCAATCAGGATAAAAAGTAGTCAAAACGTGATTTTATTAAATTAAGTTTAGGTAACAAATTTTTAGGTAACAGCTTTCTCTGTTTTTCAAAGATCCGTCTTAAGTGAACAACTTTAAAATCTACCGTCAATTTTGCTTAGATTTTATTAAGTAACCCTTTTTTTAAACCTTCCCGTGGTGCTAAACCATTACGCAGTATAGATCTTTAAAAAAAAAAAAAATAAAAATAAGCCTCTGTCAGTACTAGATCATATAAAAAATGTTTGCTTTACGAAAATTTAAACAGATTTTTTAAGGAGTGAATACATACAAGTCACTTTTACAGCGCGCTGCCCGGGCGCTCTGCGATGCCTAATCGCCATTCTTGCCTATTGACCCAGAGGTCATCGAAATGGCATCTAGAAATTTCATCTTGGATGCCACCTATCCACGATTTTGCTGAACGTCCCCTACGTCTACATTTTTAAAGAATTATATTTTTAAAATTTAAACGTTTTTTTTTTTTTTTTTTTTTTTTTTTTTTTTTTTAAACTCAACAGTTTAACTTTAAACAGTCGTTGCGACGACAAGGATGCATTTTAAATGAAACTTGACCCAATTTCTCCAAAAACCCTCTTTTCACTGAGGGACATTTTCAGTTCTTACTGCCTCTATAGGATATTTTACGTGGAAATGTCCCTTCCATTCCCTGTGCCCCTAGCCGATGTCATTGAGTATGCTTCAATATTCCTCTCAAGGGCCTAATTAGGAGATATCCAGGAATCGGTGCACCACGCCCCTCTCTGTCTCTGCCTTAAAAACTGAATGCCTTTCTATAGAGTTTTAGGAAGGGTTTCTTAGAAAGATTTTTTGAGGTTCCCCCAGAAAGTAGGTATTGAGTTCTTCGAGACAAATACGTGTAAAATCCAGGGCCGGATTTACCTACTTGCCACCCATGGGCCGAATGTATTTTGCCGCCCCCTTCTCATTCGTTTTGAAACATCAATAAAAACCATCAAGTGAACGTGCCGGAGGGGGAAGGGAGGGGTGCATAAGACGCGTTTACTCATGTTGCTCACATTTTTTGCGAAAGCCCTGTCAACACTACTAGCAAAAGTTCACGGAACTTTGCGCGAAAGTTAAGTTCCGTGAACCTATCTCTGTGTAAACCAGGCCTTCCATTTGTAAGAAATGAACGTAAAAATTATGCAAGAACAAACATGAATGTGGTTTAATAATTGTAACCTCCGCCGCCGCGCCGCGCCGCACAGACCGCACTGTGTTTGGCGCAATGCGTGCAGTATTCCTACAGTCTTGTAGGCGCTATGTGTTTCACGCCGCGCCGACCGCGCCGCTGAACGCATACTGTGTTTGACGCAATGCGTGAAGTTTTCATGAAGTCTTGCAGGTGCTAATATGTGTTACATGCCAACCGCCGCTCTGAGAGCTTCTCCTTCTCATCTCAAGTCCTCGTCATCATTGCTCTCTGCGCCGCGTCGCTCCACGCCAAATTGCGTACTTGGTTTCTCTCTTAACTCGACTAATTAAAGGTGCTGTCTCTTGTGTCACCGAAAGACGCTTTTCTCGTTTGTAATTTTTTTTCTGAATCCGATTTTTTTTATATACCTATATTTAAAAAAAATTTAAAATTTGCCGCCATGGGCCGTGGCCCATTTGGCCACCCCCTTAATCCGGTCCTGGTAAAATCATGCCCCCATATTTTTTATTTTGATTTTCAAACTGTAGATGAAGAAATCGGAGGTTTTAAAGTCCTCGTTACTCTGGGGTTTTCTCTTGAAGCAAAACTTAATAGCCTTGGAGATCATAAAAAAGAGGGAAAAAGTGGGAAAAATAAGGAAAGGACACATAACCATGAAAAGCCTATAACGCTACGGCCACTAAAAATGAGGGGCTTGGAGGACAAGGCGCATAAGTACAGTTTTTGCTATTTTAGGAAATGTGTTTAAAGTTTCAAAATTACATGGAGCCTTGTGACGGAAACGAAGTTTAAACTCTCTTCTGAATGCTTTAAAGTTAGATTTTAGTTGTGAAATTTTCACAGAATATACTTTCAAACTAGTTTTAGTTGAGTTCATGAATATCTCAAGAGCTTCTATCTCAAGAGTTTCTTCAAGAACTCCACGTAGATGCGCCTTGTCTTCCAATACCGTCGAAATTCTTTCCGGGTGGTAGTAACTGTACCTACCTCAATACCTGCCCTACTATTCCAAAATGTAGCGGGATTCATGGTGCATCTTTCTTTCAATAAGAGGCGTTTCTGACCCTTGGAGGAACGATATCAAAAACTAGATCGAAAAGTGGCAAAGAGCAGAGAGCAGTCCGCAGTTTTGATAAACGTAAGTAAATATTTTTGTGGCTCGCACATAATCATGGAGCAGCCCGCTGCAGTCGGAATAAAATTCCTCTTTTAAGTGTGGATACCTGCCTAGCGCTGTCGGAGATAGAAAGGTATTTATTTAAACAACATTACGCGAAGATGAAATAAAAGAGAATATAAATATTTGCTCTCTCTTTTGACCTTTTATGTGCTGATTAATTTGGACTTTGAGGCAACTGAAATTTTCGCTTATCCCTCGGGATATTTGACTGTTTTTATAAGTTACGAAAAAGTTTCTTTCTCTCCTTCTCTTATCCGTTTTTCTACCTTGTTCATTGATTTATCCTCGGTCCCTGCTTTCTCATTTTCTCTCCGCAAGGACGGCGGATACTTCATTTTCTCCCTAAGATCAAAATTAAGGGCTCAAATCCGTATTCTTCTTTGTTTCTCAGTTACTCTCAAGAGTAGGTATCATATCGATGGTGAAACTCCCAAACCACGTATCTCGTTTGCGATGTTTAAAAATCTCCGTTCCTATAATTATTTTTTTTCTGAAAGCGAATCAACATCATTTCGTGAAGTTTTCACAGAATTCTCTTCGCGCAGAGCAGACAAATCACATGATATTTTAAAGAATGAACGCGCGTTGAGAGGTTTTTCCGTTTAAAAAATAAAATATGACAGTAAGTCTGCAACGTTGCAAACTGAGATACGTGATTTGGGACTTTCAACTTCGATATCTACAGCCACATAACAGCCTGCGAAACCACATGTCTCCTTTGAGGGGCTTGGAGAACAAGGCGGGCAAGTGCAGTTTTTGCAATTTCGAGAAATGTGTATTTGAAATTTCGATATTACACGATTCCTCATGGCGGAAAGAAAGTTCAAACTGACTTTTTGATGCTTAAAAATTGGAATTTTTGGAACGGAATTTTTCACAGAATATATACAGTAAGACTAGTTTTACCTAATTGAAATCATTACCTAGCACCTCAATTTTTTAAGCAACTGCACTTATACGTATGCGCCTTGTCCTCCAAGCCCTCCATTGTGTTGTTTTAAAATCTCTGCTCCTATTTTATTTTTTTCGAGGAGAAACGAGCCAACTACATGACTTGAAATTTACATAGGTACAGAATATTTTGATAATAAGAGAATAAAAATCAAGGAGGTTTCCACAAAATCACGTTGACAAGATTTCTAAAGAAAAAATAATATATGACAGGAAGTCTACAACGTCGCATTCGGAGATGCGTGATTTTGCACTATGGCCATTGATATCACATCCAAGAACAAAAATAAATAATATGCGAAGAAGTGTATCGCAGATTTTGATTGCAGTTTCTCATAGCTTTCTCATCTTTGGAAATGAACATGAACAATGTTGTGTCCATGAAACGTTTACCGTTGGTGACCTAGATACATGTGTATTTTCTTCCTTTTTCCCAAAAGCTTCGAGTTCAATTTACCAGAATTATCAATCATGCTGACCCTGGTAAAAATTGGCCGTAGAATCTGTGTTCCAAAATACCAAAGACCTACAGCCGGTTGTAAGATTTTCAGTAGCTTCTATAGCCGGCTACACAATTTCTTATAGCCTTTTATAGCCGATGACGACTAAGCAACAGCCAGGCGATAAAGTGTATGCTAAACGTTACTAATTACGGATGCTAGGACTTAGTGAGTTTTTGGAATACTGCTCTCTTTTTGGGCCGTAGTATCTTGATTTATTTTGCGAGGAAAGCTCCGTACTTTTGATGGATGCCTGCCATTCCTTATATATATTAGAGCTCCTTCAGTTTCGTTTGATACTGTGCAATACCTCTTGTGTGAAATAGTTGCTTCAAGCGCCGTGGCAGGCGGGCAGCCAGCGCACCTACAAACCTAACAGGGATACTTCACGCGTTGCGCAATGCGTGAAGTATCCCTGTTAGGTTTGTAGGCGCCAGTGCGTCGCCGCTCCGTTTTGTGTTAGGCTCTAATTTTTAATCTGGCGGAGTCAGCGTTATTCAACTCATAATTTTGAAATGTTTGCACATCCTGTATGGATTATTCTCATTTTAATTGATGAAAAAAATATATATTAAAGATATAATGTGTGTTTTGTAAATATTAAGGTGGTTCCGTATCAAACTTAAAGATTTCCAAAGCACACGAATTTCTACACAATTTTTTATAGCCTTTTATAATCGATGGCGAAAAAGCAACAGCCAGGCGATAAAGTGTAGTATTCTACAGCCAGCTATATGATTTTCTGTAGCCTTCTTTAACCGGCAATAAGAATTCCTATGGTATTTTGAAACGCAGCTCTTATCGCCAATTTTTACCAGGGGAGAGACTTCAATACATTTGAGGGGATTGGAGGACAAGGCGCATAAGTGCAGTTTTTGCTATTTCGAGAAATACGTGTTTGAAGTTTCGAAATTTCATGGATCCTTTTGGCGGAAAGAAAGTTCAAACTGACTTTTTGTAGCTTGAAAATTGGAATTTGGCAGCTAAATTTTCATAGAATATGCATTCAGCCTAGTTTTACTTGATACCATTATTCATCTCATTTTAAAAAAAAAAAAACTGCACTTATGCGCCTAGTCCTCCAATCCTCTCATTTGAACAAGATTGAGATCATGAAAAATGCGTCTGCCATGCATAATCCCTGCCTGATGCCTTTTTTGTTTTGCTTTTTTACAGAGGCAAAAGTGTGTTAAATCAAAAATCCGAGCTTCAGCGAGCGTTAGAGAAACACAAAGAATCGCAAAGCAAGAAGGAATTAGAACAGCAAAGACTAGAATGTCGAACGCCCTTCGAGCGCATCATCGAAGAGCGCGCCAAGAGATTAGAAACGGTAAGTTGCCCCTTCAATTCAGTTAGATACCCCCTGTTTCCTTCAAGCGACGAGTAGTAGGTCGAAGAGGGTGATGTTACAATGAACGAAATTTACGTGACCGTTAGTGAACGAACTAACACACAAAAAAAATTAATGTCGATTCAACATCCTGGATGTAAAACAAAGTGTGCAAGAACTTTCAAAATGCTGAATTAACCAATTCAGCAATGTCAAGATGTAAAACTAACTGCTGTAGCGGGTAATTCAGCGTTTTGTAAGTTCTCGCACAATTTGGGGGGGGGGGCTGCTGACCCCTCCAGAGATCTATTTGACCCATCTCAGAAACGAGAGGGATTTGGCATTTGGAAATAAGAGCGTGACAAAATATTTTTCATCTTTGAAATTGTGTTCAATCAAAGCCGCAAGAGCATTGGGTATGACCCTCAGCGCCATCAGGGGTCCAGAGGGCTCTTCAGGAAAATTTTTGAAATCGACACATCTTTTCTGCGATTTTGAGTTGTTCGTCCCGAATAATTATTGAATGAGGTACAATTTCAAAGATGACAGGAGTATCACGCACAAACTTACTCCTCAAAATCTCTTGCATTTTTTGAAGGGGTTCAAGTAGATTTCTGGGGATGAGTGTTTTTTATGCTTGATCAGTTGTGTATCTTCTGTAAAAAGGGCTAGAGGGAAAAGGAGGGTGTTACCATGGCCGGATTTACCTACTTGCCGCCCATGGGCCGTCTGTATTTTGCCGCCCATGGGCCGTCTGTATTTTGCCGCCCCCTTCTCGTTCGTTTTGAAACATTAATAAAAACCATCAAGTGAACGTTCCAGAGAAGGAGGAGTGCATAAGACGCGTTTACTCGTGTTGGACACATTTTTTGGGAAAGCCGTGTCAACACTATTAGCTAAAGTTCAAGGAACTTTGCGCGAAAGTTGAGTTCCGTAAACCTATCTCTGTGTGGACACGGCCATTTACAAGAGATGAAAGAAAAAATTATGAAAAAACAAACATAAATGTGTTATAATGATTTTAACTTCCGCCGCCTTGCCACGCAGACCGTGTTTGGCGCAATGCGTAAAGTATTCCGACAGTCTCGTAGGCGCTATGCGTTTCACGCAGCGCCGACCGCTGCTGAGCGCACTGTGTTTGACGCAATGCGTGAAGTATTCATGCAGTCTTGTAGGCGCCAATGTGTGTTTCATGCCGACCGCCGCGCCAAGAGCTTCTCTTTTCATCTCAAGTTCTCTTCATCATTTCTCTCTCAGCCAGGCTTTCAGTTCCAGGCCAAATTGCATGTGTGCTGTCTCTTGTATCACTGAAAGACGACAAAATTAGAAATTACTATACTCTCAGGAAATGAGAGCTTTTGTCGTCTTCTCTTGTTTGTAATTTTTTTAATTGAGTGATAAAATGTCTACGATTTTACTTTCACTTACTCAAATATATTCACAGAAAATTTCAAAAATATATTTTTTCTTACTTTCTTAGGAGACTAAAACCGTTTCGGAGATTTTTGGATGTCACTAGGTAACCTGATAAAATAATAACTATCTCTCGTTTGTTTCAGCTCGAAAAGCAAACTGTCATTGAACCACCTGCTTCAAACAAACCTGAATTTTTGCGAGTTCATGCTAAATTACGAGCTAAAATGGACTCAAAGTAATCATCTCAGCACTATTTCTGTCTATATGAGGTCAACCAATGACTGTCTCTACTTACTTTAAACATAATTTTTTTTTTGTTTTTTAAGAAGAAGAAACTTACCCATCTCTATTTTGAGTGTGACTTGTAAATATTAATAATGAGTAGGATTAATCACAAAATCAAGGGTAAAGAGAGAGATCCATATTGGATAAGTAGAAGAATTGAAATTGTTTGGTCGTTTGCAATACTTGCTATGGATACTGAGGTTTCTTTATAGACTAATGGCAAAATTTTTTATAGAAAACAAATTCCTGATCTGCCCAAGATTTTTGTTACTATCATTCTCGTTTGTTTGTCCTTTTGGAAATATTTATGCCAAAAGGAACTATGTGAAATGCAAATCCTATGCTCATAGTTCCTTTTAGCATAAATAAGTCTATTTGTATTATGGGCAACATCAATGCCGCCAAGCTGAGGAAAAAAAGTGTATGAACGCCCAGACGCCTTTCCCTCCACAAAACATTCATTTTTGAATTTATAAATAATTTTTCTTGAAATTCTTTGATACCGTAGATTAAATTAAAAATAAAAATCTCTGAAAAATTGTGAGAAACATACACAGTTTCTCCGAAAATTTGTGTTTCAACCGAGGAAATTTGACAATGTCCAAAGGCTCATACAGCGTTCTTCCTCAGCATGGCAAACTATGGGGACTCTTCATCTCTCCTTCCATCCGTTAAAATGTCCTCGTAGGGTTCAATTTTACTCTCTAATCTTCTTAATATGGTTCATTGAGAACTCCGCAACTGATAGGTTTTAGTAATGATCCTGTGAGTTCTTCCAGAATTTCAGAAAAGATATTGTTGATGCAAAATCTGAGTGACTGTTAGTTAGTTTGTTTGTTTGTTTGTTTGTAAGATTTGAAGTGTACAAAATGTAATTATAAGGGCTATGTTAAAATTTATCTCAAATTTATTTGCATTCAACAGTGTTGAATTTGCAAGAATGACTGTGTTTTGAAAAAAAAGAGACAAATCTTAATTCATAAATCATATGAGAATTTATTTTTTTGTAGATTTAAAGATTATATTTATTAATAAAGTATTTTGAATCAAGGCATTTTGGACTTTTATTCTCCTCTCCAAACTTACTCTTCGAATAGCTAGTTAAAAATTATCATTCCTGATAGAAGTTAGGTAGAATTTATTGATGCATACAGCCTATAGTAAAAAGCTCTGGCTTGAGAAGTTGCACTGTTATGTTTCTTGAAAAAATATTCTCTAAAATTTTTTGGAAAATAATTTCACTGTCTGGAAATTTTCAAGTTGGAACTTTGAATAATCTCTCACAGGCCATTGGACGATTTAACCTACAGGGCAAGCATGAGGAACTAATAATCTTAATGTTTTTGAAGTATAGCATGATGTAGTTTAGCAACCTCGACACATTTTGTACTCATTATTGTCAATGCATTATGCCGCAATTAAAGCCTTAAACCTTCCTTTATACTCAGCATCATTAAAAATAAACTGGAAAAAAAAGGTGAAGGCATCTATTTTGCAGTAAGCGTAGATGAGAGACGAGATTAAGCTTGAGAAAATGGTAGGACATATTTCCTGTTACCCAAGAAAGAGAAAAAGTAGATAGGTGATGTAATTATGGTAAAATAGTTGTAACTTTAATCAACAAAAAGATAAGAACATCAGGTAGATTTCATTGAATATTCATATGAATAACAAATGCAAATGATGGAAGAATTGTAGATGCAATCTGAAACAAAATTACAATTTTGCATCTGTTTAGAAAAAATATATTGCAAGACTTAGCAAGCAAAATTTCTTAAAACTTCCATTTGTACATAAAACACACAAGGAAAAAATATGTACTTACAGCAGTAATTGAGAGAATTAAAAAAAACTTTAGGAAGACGACCGCCGAAATAACAAAATTCTGGCTGGTAACGAAAAAGGTGTCCGACTTTACCTATGAGGCCATGAATTATTATCAGCTGATTTTGAGTCGCAGACATGGAAAGCATTGCATCATCTGAGCATTTTACAATTGCTGCCCATTGAAGGTTGTTTTTATAAAAACACAATCAAAGCCGGTGCATCGATTCTCACTTTGGCAACCACAGTTTGACCACTGTTTTGTAACAGTGACAGCAACTACATGAATGAAATGCTACAGAACTTTACCTGTGTGGCCGAATTTTAATAATGGTTACCAGTCATCGTGATGATGAATTGTACGGCGGTCGGCTTTCTAAAGTATTTCCAAAAATATTGATCTGCGTCCAAAAAAGCTTAATTTCTCTTCCTAATGAGAAATCAGAGACCACTAAATGAATGTCTGAGGAAATACAAAATTCTCAATTAAAAATAAATATGCACCCTGTTTTAAGCTTACTAGTGAAAAATATTCAAAAACCTACTCACAGATAGTATTCAGATCATAACAGTATATAACAACAACAAATGAATAAGGGTTTTTTACGATGAGTTGTCTTCACTTTTGCCACAAACTAACTTCGCAACTCTTCAGCATATTCTGATTCAGGAATGTTACTATGAGGGTCATGATGTCCAATATTACATTGCACAATTGACCTATGCGGTAGGAAAAAAAATTATTCTTTGCTCTTTCACAAGAGACACCATGTCAATAGGTCATTGAATAGTGTGAGAGATCAGACTTCTTGGGAAGAAAAACTGTGGTTGCACAGAAGATTTTGAAGCGACTGGATTAGAGAGTTTAAGTACACATTGATTGAAAATTTTCTCAATGAGAACATAGAGAGCTATTTGACAAAGAAGGTATGAGTCACAGAAAAGGTAGAAGAAATAAATTTTACCGGCAATTTTCATAGTTTTGAATGTTTTTCTATTCATATGAAATTTTTTGGTAAAACCACATACAATGGTAAAATACTCTAATCAACAAAGAGAAAAAAACTGATTAAGCATCCACACAAGCCTTGATTCTACAGGGTGTCTAGTTTTTTTTTTTTTTTTCATTTTGGGAAATCCTGATGAAATCCTGATTTTACCTGATTTTTGACTGCTAAATCCCGATTTCATCATTTTTCCGAAACCTGCTTAAGCGTATGCAAGAGCATGAAAAAACCCATCGGAAAGCCGACTTTCCTCAAATCCTGATTTTACGACCGGTTTTTCCCCATATCCTGATGAAATCAGGATTAAATCCTGATTGACCTCAAATCCTGATAGAATCAGGAAAATCCTGATGCTAGACACCCTGTTCTAGTAGAATTCAATGCTAATTCTGTGGATGACCTCCCGCTATTTCAATTAGTTCAATTTATCTGAGAAAATTTGAAGTTTCACTCAAAAATCAGATTTGACCAAAAATAATGAAATTTTCTAGAGAGCTTGAATATAATGGAAAGAGACCAAGGTTTTATAAGATTCAGCAGAAAAGAATGCATGGCTTTACACCTACACCATTGTCATGTTAGAAAAAGTCCCGCTCTCTCCCTGCCACCAAAGTTTCTTCGGTAAAAAGCACAGTCCGCGTACAATCCTCACCAATATAGACATTGCTGTTATTTGGTGTCTAAAATAAAAAGTAATGGGTAATTATTTTCCAGGAATCAAATGCAGCCCTCCCCACACATAATTGCAACAAAAGGAAAAAATAATCTTAGTCTTTTCCAGCAACTACCAGGTTTTTTTTTTTTTAAATAAAACCTTCCGAAAAATCTTCTTTTTTAGCTGAGAAAAAATAAATTTGTGGGCAAACTAACCTAAACAAACGCTGTTATAAAATAAAAATTTGACAGTAATAATTGAGTTTTTGGATCTTGTGAAGACATTATTTCTTTCATTGACTCGTTTTGACCTTCTTATTCTTAAACTGTAGGATCTTTGGACAAAATGAGGAATAAACTTTCCCCATTGGGTCTAATTTTATAAGGCATGAACAATCTCATCATGGAAACACCAAAAACAGGAACATTCAATTAGAGTAAAATATAAAATACCTATTTAATTTATACTGTATAGTCTGGTGGCTTTACCATGACAGTTTTTTTCAAACAGCAAAAATGTTGAAAGAGGGCTACAGCAAAAAAAAGAATCGACTGCCAACCATCTCGAAGATCGGACAAACCCCACTCAAAAAGTGCAATTACAACTAGACAAATCCATGTGCAAAGAATTCTCCTTTTGAAGTAAAGCACCATAAGGTAACACTGAAACAGAGAAACATACAGAGACATTTAAAAATTAAGGCTCTTGAAAAACCTATGAGTTTTGTGGATAAGGCGTTTGCCTGAACTAAACATGTGACAAAATAAAAATAATGTTAAAACCTGTCGTTTTTTTAAATAGAAAATTCTCTAGTAGTCTACAATGTGGCATTGAATTATCTTGTTCATTGATGCTGCTTATCAGTGACCAAGCAAGTTATACAAACACAAAAGGGGACAAAATAATTGATTTCCTTCATCTCACTTCACAGGAAGCCTGTAAATTCAAATTTTCAGGAATAGAAATTTTTTGATGTAATTTATAATAGTAAAAAATTCAGGCTCCCTTTTCTTGACATTGGTAAATTGGAAGTTTGATTTAAGCTCATTGAGCTCAAGAGATCATAAGGCATATCATATTATATAGTAGCGTTTGATCTAGGCTGAATTTCTTGGTATTCCATGCTTTTTCTTCCTTCAGCCTGTTCAGAATTGAACATAAAAAATATACCTGACTTATCCTAAAAATGCCCTCAAGCAGAAAGAGCATTCCGTTTTCAGAGGAGGTGTCACCGACAATCTGCAAAAATAATGACACAAAAATTGGAATCATTTTTCATCCTTTGGAGAATTTGATACAGAATAAAAATAAATTATTCCCGCTAAATTTTGTTAATTTTCAATTTCGTTTCTTACACACGGATTGTCAAAACCCAAGGCAATAAAGTATCAAAGATATTATACAATGTATAAAACTTAATGTGGCTATCACTTATTTTCTTGACATGGCGAATTTTTTTATATCTATGTGCCAAAGTTTTCGAGATATCCCCCACTTTTATTCCAGATCGACCTTGAAACTTCTAAACCACATATTTTGTTGGCGATGTTTCAAAATCTCTGCTTCCACGTCGTTTTTTAAAAGAAGACCAAACCAAAATCATGGCTTGAGATATTGACAGAATAATCTCCACGCAGAGAAGAAAAATCACAGCGAGTTCCAAAAATTGACGTTGAGTAGTTTTCCATTTAAAAAATAAAATATGACAGTAAATCAGCAATGTTGCAAACCAAGATATGTAAATTGGGAATTCCACCATCAATTTTGACCTTTGGACTTGTCAGAATGAAATAAGTGGTCAGAGAACAGTAAGACTATTGAAATGATGGATACAAAATTTAGACATTTTCTACAGAGACACCCTGAAATGGTCTTTTTCCCTGTTTGAAAAAGCTAGAAACGAAACAAGTGCATATTCAATGAGTTGAAGTTTTGCCTGTTGGTTCTTATAAATGTTGTTAAGGCTGTCAATAATGTAGCTATATGATTGAGATAGACCAATGGACTGTAGACAGTATCTGAACACTCGAAGTTGACCTTCTTTAGTAATAGCTGAATTTTCATCAGCCGTGGGCTCTTAATGCACTTTTTTAACCTATCGATGATTGAGTGTAAGAGCTTCCTCTGTTATGCAATTCAAATGCAAATTCTCTGCCACTATGGAAATCTCTTTAAAAAGGTAAAGACGGTTGGATTGAAGTTACTTATAGGTCTATTATGTATTGAATGAACGTAAATAGTAAGCTTAATGGACGTTAATACATATTAAGCTTAAATGGATATAAATTATCATTTTTACTAAAAATTATTCACCAGTCTCTTACAGGAGGAGTTTTTGAAGGCTACAAAAAAATAATTTGAACAAGATTTCTTGCTTACTGTATGGCAATATAGTTTACACTCGATTATTTTACAACTTTCATTAAATACTTTATTCACTTCATCAATACAAACAAACTAATTCAGTTATAACTTTGTGACTTCAATTAGAGAATAATGTGTATCTGCCTCTACTCCATAATTATGTTTGTAGTTTACTCTGATACAAGCAAAACGAAACACTCTATGGCATGAATTAATTTGGAGTCTTGGATTCTAGGGCAAACAAATCTATGATGTAGTTTTTGTAAGAACATTGAGTCCCAAATTTTTTCCTCAGAATTAATTCGTGATAATCGTTTTTTCAAGTAGGAAAGCACTGATAAGAATTTGCGATATCATGCTATTTACAGCGGAGTGATTCAATTTTGATAAAACCAAAAATGCACTCTTACGAATAAGTAACACCATCCCATGCCATAGAAAGTTAAGACAAAAACAAACTTTTGACTTAAGTACCTTTTCACTTGTGAAAGCCACTGCAGATATTCCACGCCAGAGGTCAAGAAAAGTGAGCAAAAGTGTGAGAGTACAACTTAGGTAATCATACCAAAATAGCTTGTTTAATCTGGGCCGGACCACAGCTGTAAAGGTAAAGTGACATTATTGATAAAGTCAGGTAATCTCAATCAATCCTCTAAATCATATAATAAAACAACTGTCGATCAATAAAATCAACCAACATAATTTTTCGAAAAGTTCAGTGATCTTCATTGTACTCTGCATGGTGCATTTTCTATGGGAGCTTCAAGTTAAAAAGTGGTTTCTCTTTCTTTAGAAAAAGAAAATAATATTAGTAGCACGAATTTGAAGCACTGTGATTATTACACAAGTCATGAGCGCATGGACCTTGAGACAGGAGTTTCAGCAAAAGTAAGAGTGAAAAAAAGTTTACCAATATGCTGGAATATTGATCTAAAAATACAACACTGCTAGCAACATGTACGGCTTTTTCTTTTGTTGTTTTCAATTAAAGGGAAATTAGAATAATAATTTAGAAAAAATCTAAAAAAAAAAAAATACAAAAGTACAAAATTTAAAGGGGACGGCAACCTTAAAAACAAGTTTGGTTAAATCGACAAAGAAAAGTGGGCAATGAAAGATGCCAAAATCTATTTGCATTCGTTGAGCCGCTATCACAAAAATAGCTGAGCACGTAACATCATGAGCTTCGTCTCGCATTTTGCAGTCTGCACTCTACATACTGTCTTCGGTGTCAAGTGGCCAACAAGTGTTTGTGACAAGTTATTACTTCGCCCCGACTCGCTCATTCCTGGCCGACTCTTTTTTCTTTGCTGAGGTGTGACTATTAAGACGACTTCACTGCACCAGACTGCAAACGGGCCAGACTTCGAGTTGTGTGCGTGTGAACTGCAGTCGCACCAGGAGCGCATGATGTCACCAGTCAGACTTACAATCTTTCATGTCTCTGCCGATTTTGCGAATTTTTCATTCGGGACAGAGCCATTTTGCTTCTTATACCTTCCCGCTTCAATTTTTAATACTATCTCATTTTCGATTTTACGATTGCCGCCCCCTTTGATTGAGTAAGAGTAGCAGTATGTTGTAGTAAACCAACATGGTGATGAAAACAATGTATCAGCAAACTGGGCAACCAGAGAGCTTCTCTAAAGCACTATATACTATAATGCCCATTTTAATTTCTTCAGCAAATGAAAATTTTTGATGTTATCAGTGAGTTGAAGACTTACCTTGCAGCCTGCTGGTATTACTAGGACTAGAATAACCATTTGCAACTGATTCTATTTCGCTAAGAGTAATTTTATAAGCTGGTCTAAGTCTTAGCTCAGTACTTAATTCTGATAAATTAATCTTTGTGGTTAAACTTTGAGGTTTATTATACCGCTGCCTTGCCCGATGGATGTAGTTATCTAAATGAATAAAAAGAAGAAAAGAAAAAATACACAGCACAAATAAAGAATAACTGACAGAATAACAATTACATTCTTAAGGAAGCTGTTCCAGAGTAGGTACAAGTACATGGATCCACGTAAGGGAAAGAACCCTTTAAACTAAAAATACTTACACTTGTTCTGAGGGTGGACTTGATATTTTTATCCAGGTATGATTTCTTGTGAAACTTGAAACATTGTACTCAGATTCAATAGTGAAATTTGAAGAAATGCGAATCCCTCTTTTGAGACAGCTTTGAAACTAATAAAGGGATCCTTTTTTAACCTATTTTAATCAATTATCCAAAAGATAATTAATACCTACTGATGCAAATTTAAGTTACAGCTTTTTATATTGCAATTTGAGATGGACCAACAGCCATTAAAATTTTCTTTTTTCTTCTCCACACAACAAAAAATCAAATTGCGTCATAATCTTTACGTTAGAAAATTAAAAAGAATTGATTAAATATAGACATGAAAAAAAGAAAATGGAAAAGGATATACCGCAGGCAATTAAGCATTGCTAGCATTGCAAGTAATGTTTTCATGATAATGTATACCAAATGAACTAAACAACTCATAAATTTTGGTGAGGTAAAACTCGCCAATCTTTACTTGTCTTCATGGTTATTCTTCATGAGCAGTCATCATGCGATTTTGATTGATGTTTCATTTGCAGCCTTTGATGTCAGCTCACTTTTCTCATTACCTAATACTATTTTAGTTGTAGCCGTACAACAGCTGGTGTTGAAATGAGTAAGAATCAATATCTCTAGGCAAATCTAATACAATCACTTACTTACCAAATTCAATAAAAGAGTAGGGCCTTTTACAAGTTTCTATCTGTGAGCGTTCATACTTTGTTATAAATTCTCTATTTAATTCACTTAAGAAGCTGTATGCCAGCACACTGGGATAGCTAGAATCACAAAGTACAAAGTAACCAACTCCAAGGGATGTAATCAAACTGGAAAAAAGAAATAAAAAAAACCATAAGTAGTTGAAGACCCATCATCAGAAGTGTAAAAGAAAGTATGTACTGATTTAACTAACCACCAAACTCAGCTTTGGCGTACTGGTTAGTTGGAGTAGACATACGAAAATTTCTCTGGCTGAGCCAGAGACAACAGAGACAACATGACCAAATTTTGTTGGTTATGTAACCGACACAGCGAACGGACACTTGAAAATGTGAAATAAAAGATGATACAATAGATGAAACTTGGCAGTTCTTGAGATATGAGGTGAAATTAATGCTGCCTTGAGTTTTTTAAACTTCCAGGCCTTTCCATTGGTTTGATAATATTAAATTGAGGATTTTGTGTAGTGTGTAATTAGTGCTACAGACCTAAAAATCACTGGTTTTCATAAAAGTTAAAGTTTTTGTTTTGGACAAAGCTAAGTTATTAATAATGATGTGGACGAGAAGACTTCCAGGAACAATTTGATGAAGGTTTTGAAACTCCTGGTTCCGACCACCCAAGAAGCAGTGACCGCGATAAGTAGCGATTTTTTCGGTTGATTATCGCGATTATATCGGTGGCAATTTATCGCAATATTATCGAATACAAAATTGCAATTTATGGCGATTAAATTGCTATGCATTGCAATTTTTTGTTCAATAAAATCACAATCAATTTTTGTCGATAAAATTGAGATTAAATTGCCATATATAGCAATTTATGTTGCCATAATATCGCTATAAATTGCCGGGCGATAAAATCGCAATTTAATTGCAACAAGATCGAGGATAATCGCTCAGATGTTGATGATCTTAGCGATTTTATCGCCGAAAAAATCGCAACAAATCGCGGTTTTTCCGTTAAAAAATGCTACGTGGGCAGCGAGATAAACACTGCGCTAAATACAACTGCAATGATACATTGCCAAATGTGGCGACATTCTGTCTAATGACATTCCTCGCTTAAAAATAAACATTTCAGTTCAGAGTGGCAATATTCTTGAGCATCAGAGTCTCCTTGCCAAATATGCGAATATTGCCAAAGAATCCATGATCAATACTGATTCACTTCGGCAAATTGCTCTTCTGCTTCAAAATCGGGGTTGGCGACGCACAACCGACCAGACATTTTCGGCAGTCTCATATTATTTAGTACAATCATAATTTTTCATATTCTTTAGCATGGATAAGTTCAGGTACGTCATTCCTACTAATGTATCAACTTGGTTTTCAATCGCTTTGCCCTAAGTCGTTTATAACCCACGGCGACCTGACTATTCCTCTTATCGTGAAATCACCCATATAATGATAATAGAGAAAAAGGAGTCATCATGACAACAATACTTACTACAGAGTGTGATTTCCTAAGTTGAGCATACATCTGTCAGAAAGCTGATTAATTTTTTTGACGACAAGTTTGACGTACCGTTTACTGCTTTTAATGTTTTTGTTTATTTCATCATTAAAATCTGTTGTTGCTGATAATGCCAAACCATCGGTGGCACGAACTATAAGGGCATATAATATCATTATTGGGCTATGCACTTAAACAACACAATCAGATTCAAAATTTAGGATAAAAAATTATGTATTGAGAATAGACAAAAAGTAACACATTGAATTCCTGTTGATATCACTGCAAATCAGCAAATAAAAATTTAACGTTGGGAGCCAATTTATAAGGTGACACTTAAGAAACACTAAAAGAATATCCTGAACATAACACACTAATTAAAATGTTACAATTATGTAAATTGGGGTAATTCAATATTTACGTGTTTACGTGTCGTATGCAATTATGCATGTGTGCATTTAACTCTAACCTTACTTTTTGATAACACAGAAAATGATAACCATCGGCCGGCGATCTTCATTCATTGGTTCGTGCATCTGAAGCTTCGCGCGCAGTGACCAATCCGTGCGTGCATGTTTTTGGCGCGAGGACTTCAGCGCGAAATTTAAAAATGCGGGTGTGAAAAAACTGAGCGATTGAGCACAGGGTAGAATTTCCTGAGCGCCTCCCCCCGCGGACGCACTATGGTCAAAACTCAAGAATAGGAAGAAATAAGTCGGATAATGACCGAAAGATCATGAAAGTCTCGTTATTGATGTTTCTTGAGTTGCTAATTCCGAATTTGATGTCAAATCGCCAATATGTTTAACACTGCGACGCGGCGCGGCGTGCTGCCAGCTCAAAACGCGCACTGACGCCTTCAAACCTAAGGTGATACTTCAAGCACTGCGCAATGCGTGAAGTAGCCCCTTACGAACCTAAGGAGATACTTCAAGCATTGCGCAATGCGTCCATGCGTCTGCTCTCCTGGCTGGCGGGTAAATGGTGGCTGATTTCTTGCGGGGAGAGTTCCCTAGCGGAGAGACTCGTGTATCGTGTAATTCTTTTTTTAATTTCGACTTTTAAAATTACACACTGGTCGTGTGAAGTAATTAGTGAACTCTCAACGGTAGATGAAGTGTAATAATGAAAGGTGGATCGTGCGTCATGCGCGCTGCAAATGGCGCAGGGCGGCTCACGAAATTTTCCCCTGTGCTCTGTCGAAAACTGAGGGCTAAGCACATTCCAGTGTATGTGAGGCAATTGGATGAAACAGCCAAACGCAGATTATATCGTCTAACTTCACTCGCTCTGTAAATCTCTCTCAGATAATTATTTTCTGTATTTAAAATTAAATCGTATATCGGCAGAGAAACTACCAGACCACGTATCTCGGTTTGCGACGTAGCAGACTTCCTGTCAAACTTTATTATTCTAATGGAAAACTACTCAACGTCAATTCTTGAAAACTCTCGTGATTTTTCCTCTCTGTACGAAAAAAACTCTGTGAAAACTTCAAGGAATGATATAGATTGGTTCTCCCTCAAAAAAATAAAATGAGAACGAAGATTTTGAAACCCCGCAAACGAGATACGTGGTTTGGTAGTTTCACCGATTGATTCTGTAGCAGAGTAGTTTCTTATTTAGTTAAAATCAGATGTCAAAAATGATGAAATGGTCTTCTTTGAGAGGACTAAGTGATTCCTACCTCGATCAGTTGTAAGTTTATTTTCTTAATTTATGTAATTTTAACTTTAACTTTTGTTCTAATTATTGAGATGAGGTCTACAATAAATTGCATAAAAATTCCTGACAGTGTTTCTCGTTCAATTTCAGCTTTGCTCTACCGATTTTTCAGTGTATTGTGTAATAACTTATCGTTAGTATTAGCTTTCACTTCGTGTTTTAATTTATATTACTTTGTGAATCTAAACAGTTTTAAAATTTTATTTTCGTATTAAGTGAAGGTAAAAATCACAATTCTTAAACTGTTTGAGCTCAATTTTACTTTTCGAAAGAAGGAGGTATGTTGTTTTAACTTTAAATGGTATGAGGACTATCAAATTTGCCTCATACACAGTGCATTGGCTAAAATTGATTTTCTTTTCTTTTCAGTTTATCTGCGAAACATTAACTATGGGGCGTAACTATGGGGCTACGTCTCCTGACCGCTTAGCGGTCCAACCCTTTTATGAAGCGCCTTGCGCCTTAGGCTCTATGCGTTACGCCTCACTCTTATTATTTTATATTATAGAGTATGATTGTATATATTATGAATGAATAACTCATGAAGTATTGCTGCAAAATATATATTCTATTTATTAATTAATCAGTCTTGAATTAAATAAGTACAAAAGTATAAAAACTTAAAGTAGGGTGTTATTACTAGTTCTTAGCGCATTATGATGAGATTCAGACTTGACGACTTGAAGGAATCATTGTTGGTTACCATTCTTGTGGTAAACGACAACGTTCTTGAAGAAAGCGTTGCTGACGTTGTTGTTCCATTCAGCGGTGTTGATGGGGCGGTCGAAGGGGAATCCAAGAGGGCGGTTGTCGAACACCTTCTTGTTGGAGCAAGTCAGGTAGTTGTCCACCTGGTTGTTGTTGTTGTTATTGTTCTTGTTCTCGGTTGGGTTCACGATGAAGAACATGGTGAACTCTTGACCGCTGGTCTTTCCACGAGGGATTTGCATACGTTTTGGCCATCCGCAGTGGTGTTGGTCAACCTGATTAAAATGAGGGAGAAAATAAAAGTTTGAAATTGAATAATGAAAGAAACAAACTAAATTAATTGAATCGCATTTAGTAAAAAGGAACCAACGTAGTTTCAGTGTTGCCAAAATGTCGCTTCTTCATAATGGGCCTGTTGCAAACTTTTGCTAGAGCAAAAATAAGAGTTGTTTCTTATAGATAATGCCTCAAAAATCACGATGAGCGCATCGGCAAAGTCTGAAATGCACTCATAACTTCACAGTCTGCGTAAGAAATTTGCGGTTTTTTGAGCTTCCCGCTTCAAAAACGATACTACGGCACAGGTGAAGATTTTGTAAGAGGAGTCGTTCCATCGTCGGCAATAATCATCATGGCCGACGCCAATCCGCCAAAACACGTTTGATGGGACGAGATAACACCTGAACTGGATCAGACCAGATAACAATCGGTGTGTTAACGTTCATATTTTCCACGCCCGAATTGATTGACCTTGAACTCTCCTCGAATTACGCGCGGAACTGCGCGCAAGCGTCGGCCATGATGAATATCGCCGACGATGGAGCGACTCCTCTAAAAAAATGTTCACCTGTGCCGTAGTATCGTTTTTGAAGCGGGAAGCTTAAAAAAACGCAAATTTCTTACGCAGATTGTGAAGTTATGAGTGCATTTCAGACTTTGCCGATGCGCTCATCGTGATTTTTGAGGCATTATCTACAAGAAACAACTCTTATTTTTGCTCTAGCAAAAGTTTGCAACAGGCCCATTATCTAAAAAATCTCCCAGAATAGCAAATAGTCTTGGCTTCCAACCGAAAATGTTTAATTTTAAAGGAATATAATTGTGTGAATTTTAATACTGTACAAGAACTAAGTATTTTTAAAAAAACAAGAGGCGTTGCACGATTATAGAGACGCTGTAATTGCGCTGGTTCCTTTTTGTTAAATCCGATCCAATTGACCTAATGAAAAGTATGAAAAAGAAACCCCAAATAAGAATAATTTTGAGCAGTGCCGGACTAGCTCACAAATAGCGTAGAGTCCGTAGAGCCTCGGCTGGCCAAGGTGGCTTAATTTGATATTCTGCCTGAGAGGTGTGGGGACACCCCCTACAGAAAGGAGAGTCCGAAAAGTTTTGGAAAATCAGACCCTTCTGAGCCCAATTTAATGCTAGTATCAGGCCCTGGATCGATTTACCTTGGTGACTAAAATGGCAACATTGAACATGATGGATTTGTTCTCTTTTTTTGCCGTTTGACGGAGGAGGGCGAATCGAGATGGGGCGTGTATATCAATGACAGATTGGCCCCAATATGGATCAATCCGGGCCTGATTCTGACGAGCAGTGAATTAAAAATGGATAATATTCGATGGACTCTCACAAAGTACATAATAGAAAACAATGAATCGATTTAAAGCATGTTGATATCATTGTACTTATCGAACATTCATGAGCTGTAGTCAGAGTGATATTGCAACTATCATGATACCAATAGGAGTAGTGATTTCCTCTGATTTTTACCTTCTTCTTTGATAAATTAAAAGGTTTGCTGTAATTAATATGAGTGAATAAGTAAAATTCAATTACCTGGCCGATGAGGAATTGGGATGATCCTTCGATGGCTTGTTGGGTTTTCTGGAATAATTTCTCAAAGGTTTGTTGGTCGTTGACGTTGTTGGGGGAGCTCTTGGCGTTACGGGAGATCTTGTTCTGTCCTTCTTTCACTGTTAAAAATAGCAATAATGAGGTATGGATTAGCATGAGTAAAGAAATGTGTTGTTTTCATACATTATTTTTCATTTATTCAATTCGTCCAATTGTTGAAACCATAGGAAAAACATTTGTTTTATAAAGATTCGATGCTACGTCTATATACTCTCTAAAAATTGCGGTAGGACCCAAATATCCAATAATTTTTTTTAAAATTGAAAAGGACGCACGGTTAATTTTTAATACGTTGAAACTAGGAGACACTTATGATCAATGATACTTACAGTTAACCTTGAAGCGGTCGATTTCGACGAAGAATGGACGGGCTTGTTCCAAGGGCATGCCTTGTTGGTGGTTGTTGTTGTTATTGTTGTTGTTGTTCTGGTTGTTGTTATTGTTGTTGTTGTTGAGGTTGGGGTTGGTCTTGGGTCCGATGAAGACACGGACGATGGCGTCGGAGGCCTGGTTGCTCTGGACGTTGATGTTGTAGCTGAAAGGCTTGTGGTTGAGGCGCTGTTGCTTAACTTGGTAGTTAATGTTGTTGTTGTTGTTATTGTTGTCGTTGTTTCCTTGTTTAATAGCGTTGTTGGCGTCCATGAAGAAGTTGTCGAAGTAGGTCATCATTTTGTCGACATCGACGTTTTGGATGGCGACTCCGTTCATTCCCAACTGAAACGACGTCATAAATCAATAAAAATCATAAAATCATAAATATTAGAGCATTGTAAGCTAATCAAAGGAGAGATTTGAGTGCTAAAGCAAAGGAAACTTCATAAGAAGAAATTTGATTATATTTTGTGATAAGGAACCACTATTTCTGGCTAATTAAGAAACAACAGATATGCAATTGGTTTCCCTATGCAGATACATGCTTTCATGGAAGAGCCAGAGATAGTGGTTCCTCATTGCAAAGTGTGATCCAATTAAGGAAAACTCTTACCCTCATTCTATCATGCTGAGGGAGAACAACGTATGAGCCTTCAGGCGTTGCCTCATTTCCCTTGATAAAATACGAATTTTTAGGGTTTGTGAATATTATTCTTCCGGTTTTTCAAAGGGTTTTATCCGCAATTTAATCCGAAGTAATGGACTTCCAAGGAAATATACTCATAAATTTCTTTCAAAATTTATATCTAATCACGACAAAGCAGGCAACCTTGAATGTTTTTACGGCGCTTTTACACAGCAGCATTCGAACAATTGGACACATTTTGCAAATAGGAATTACCATTTCAGGCTGATCCATGAAAGCACCTTCATGCATAGGGAAACTTATGACACACGCGCTGTTTCTAAATTGAACCAGAAATTGTAGTTCCTGATTGCAAAAGGAAGTCCAATTGTCTCTCAAAATGTCAATGGAAAACATAGAATAAAAGGAATCAGTGAAATAATCAACTTAGAATAATGTAAAAGCATCAGTCCTTCTTTGAAAATGGCAAATTCTCAATAGTTATCGTTTCCTTGGCGATACATAAAAAAACGAATTAAACTCATATGAATGCGTCTATGAACGCTTCGTTACTCTCACAATGCGGGAACATTCAATTTTCCTATCACAAAACTTATAGAAAAGCAACAAGGAATTGCACACAGGCAAATTATGTTGAAAATACATACGTCTTGGTTGGTGTAAGCTGGTTGCTTGGATTTGTAGTATTGTTGAATGTTGTGGATGTTGGATAAGAGAGAGAAGTAGGCAGAGTCCCTGAGAGCAGTTTCGTATTGGGAGACGGCAGCGGGGGCAGCCTGCAAGAAAGAAAAAAAAAAAAAAACATTTAGAAACGTAAATGAATTTTTGCAACTAGCTTAATAGTGATTCTAGAGATGGCTGGCAAAGTGATGCAATTTTCTCAACAGAAAAACCAATCTCGGAAAATGCCCTTAATTTTTTTCTTCAGTTACAAATAAAACTAAAAATATCTTCGAAAATTTCCGCGTCTTTCTTTACGTTTTCAAGAAGAAACGAATTGCACTTCATTTTCAAGGGACAGAAATTAGAATAAGCGTCTTTCATTATACCTTGTCTGAGCTTAACAAGCACGATGCAATGGTACGTGAATGAACGCCTGCAATGATGCGACTATTCGTACTTAATGGATGTGCATGTTGCATATTTAAAAATTGAAGGCGTTTTGGCTCTTTGCACTTGCGCTCCTAGCGCTCAAGTAATGGAGGGTATGAAGACATGACGATATACTTCATGATTTCCTAGTTTTAATCCTCAAGAAAGTAATCGTTTTTGAGTAGTAGCTTATCTGATAAACTTACGGAGTGTCTGTTGAAGGGGTCAGTTGCTCTTCCAACCATTTTTTGGACTTCGTTGAAGATACCGTTGTTTCCGTAGTAGTTGTTGTTGACGAAGTCGGAGTTGGCTTGAACCAAACGTCCCAGATTGTCGGCACCATTTTGTTGCTCGTTCAAGCTGATTTTGTTTCCGTCTTGCTGTAATAAAAATAAGATTTTTGATAAAGAAAACTTTTGTAATTAATCTTGCCCACATTTTTCACCGCGCGCACATCGGAAAAGGAGGGAAAAGAAACAGCCAATAAAAAACTGTAGGATCAGTGCCAAATAAATTTTTTTTTTAAAGACCGATCCCCAGTTATACTCAAACACAAGAATAATTGTCTTGATTAAAACGCTGAGTAAAAAGTTCCGTCAAATTATTATCTAAGGAGGCTATGTCTCTGGGCGGTTTCGCGGCCCGACCTTCGATTATTTTTATATTCACAAACTACGTATGTTCGAAGAGAATTTTTTACAAAACCAGAATTTCGCGAAAAAATCTGTCGAAAAATGGAATTGAAAGACAGAGGAAAATATCAAAGTCCTCTATAAATGTATTGCAAGGGCTCAGCATAAAGAAAGAAGTAATGTTAAGAGCTCGGACAATTTACAAGTTACGAAAATACCGATCTCGTTGCCCATTTGACTTTACACTTAATTTCAATACTGATAATACATGAATTTGACGTCTAAGACAGACTGGGTGGCTCAACTTACGCTGTAAGCAAATCCGTGATCAATGGCGTCGTAGATTCTTCTCTGGTACTGTTGGATCTTTTGGTTGGCGTTCATTCCGTTGTGTCCGCAGGAGTTGCCGTTCTGGGTGTTTCCGCAGTTGTTGTTGTCGTTTTCTCCGTTGTTGAAGTTGTTGTTGTTGTTGTTCTGGCCATTTTGGTTGTTGTTATTGTTGTTGTTCTGGTCGATGCAGAAGTTGTCTGGACGGTTGGGCATGTTGTTTCCATTCTCGAAGGAGATTGAGGGGTTGTGTCCTTCCTGCAAGTTAAAAATTATTCATTAGAATATTTTCAGAGACCCAAGTAGCACAGCGCAACGAAAATACTGAAATACGTTTGCAATTTAATTTAAAAAAAGATGCAATTTTTTCAAACAATTGCCGTAATTTCACATCATTTGGTCGATAGAAGCCATTTTTACAAATTATTTCAATTTTATTCCAATAAATTTTCATAAAAGGAGCCCCTTCAATCAGTCAATAGGCAACATTCACAACACTCCAGCACGGTAGAAATAACTTCACTAAATTTGTGCCTCGTTGGGACTGGAGACAATTGCGTTTGCAGTTTCCCTGAAGGTGCCTGACTACCCGTGCAATACACAAGTATCAGAATGGTCCTCAACTCCATATTTACTTCAAACCTTCCTAAATTTACATTTATACCAAAGGTCCTGCTTCCTGCATTTTTTTTAAATGCCAATTAAGTTTTAGAGTTCTCTTTAACCCTTAACCAACCACACCTAAAATCTGGCATATTTTAGATAATTCAGTTTTGGGGAGAGCAGTACTGCCATATTTAAATTTTCCAGCTTATAGAAAACCGTTCTTGTTATTCAATAGTTAATAAACGAGGGCGTTTTTGAAACCGACACATGCGTTTTCTGATCTCAGAAATGCCCGAAGTTCATCTAACAATGTATCTCACCTGAATACAGACGGCACCGTTCTGTTGGACTTGGAGGGGTTGGATGGCGTCTAAGTTGTTGCTGTATCTCTCCAGGTTGTAACGGGCCAGGAGTTGTTGGTTCTGGTGGAGGAAAAGTTCACCTTGACGAGCCTTGTTGATGCCGTATTTCTTTTGGTCCATCCAGAATGGGTATTGAACGTGGAAGTAGTAGTTGAAAGCGTTCATGCCAGGATCCTCGTTGAAGTAGCTGACCTGAAAAATGATGCAGAGGATAGGAAACGGTGTTTTGAAGAGGTCATAGTGTTAAAAATGTGACGTCTGGTGAAAATATAAAGTGGCATTTGAGTTTTTTATAGGTATGATAATAAGATCAGTGCCAAATTAAGCAAACTCACGTCAGGTAGATATAAAAAGAAATACCAAAATATAATTAAATCATGTCGTGCCGGAAGAGAACATCCGTCAATTTTTAGGGGCAACTTCCCCCAAAAAGAAGAAAAAAAAGGGGGGCATACTTGGATTGCATTTTGCAAAAAGGAATAACCACTAGCATTGCAATTTTGCTAATATTGTGCAACGTCTTTTGTCTTGGAGGAAAAACCCGATTATCCATTAATAGTTTCTATTTTACTCGCTAAAAACTGTAAGTTAAGACAAAAATTACCATCTAAATTTCATAGTTTTTCATGATTTCCGCAATTTTATTGCAAGAGATGAAGTTGCACAATCTTGGCATCATTGCAATGCTAGTGGTTCCTTTTTGCAAAAGGCAATTGACTTATTTCTCGAGAAATCGTACCTCTTCTGGCTTAAGGGCGTATGTCAATTTTCACGTGAGCTCTGTTCTCTGTATAACTCTAAGCTTTCTGGGGCTCATGTGAAGATAGAGATATACGCCTTTTCTTCACAGGAACAATAAAATGTTATCATTTTCTTGTCATTGAGGATCGTTAAAATTTTAGACAAATTTCCATTTGATCGGTCTAAATTTTTATTAATCTCTTTACGTGAAACCAACCTGGTTGTTGGGGTTGTTGTTGCTGTTGAAGTTGCTTCCGCTGTTGCCGTTGTTGTTGTTGCCATTGTTGTTGTCGTCGTTGTTGTTGTTATTGTTGTTTCCGTTGCCGTTGATGAGATCGCAGTTCTGGCAGTTCTGGCAGTTGGGAGAGTTGGGAGTGTTTTCACAGTTGTTGAACTGGCAGTGAGTTGGGCAGTTGCTGTAGTTGGCCTGAACTTGGAAGTTGTCTTGTCCTGTAATTTGTGCATAAATATTGGCATTAGCATCAAAGACTCATTGAGGAAAGAATTTGTTTTGAAGTATGACTGATCATCAAATGAGTTTTAAAGATATAGATTTGCAGAGAAATTTTATTTCATATCTTAGCAAAAGCCGAAGAGCCCATCGTTGCATAAAGCACGCGTTGAGAAGCTGAAACTTTTGACAAAGTAAATATAATTTTAAAATTGATGAACATATTTTTTAATATAAAATACTTTGTTTTAAAAGAATAGAATACAGTTTCAAATCGCTTAAATAGTTCATGTATGCAGCTGTGCTAAGGAAGAATGCCATTTGACCCACTGGACATCGCAAAATTTCGTGGGATTGAACAAAAATTTTCGGGGAAACTTCTGAAAAATTGTCTTCTAATTTTTCAGCGAATTTTATCCGCTGAAATATATGAAAATGTCTAGGAGAAACGTTGATAATTTTTTCAAAAATACAAATTTTATCGAAAGAGAGGCAATGTCCGGATGTTCATACGGCGTTTTTTCTTAGCAAAGTAGTAGACTTCTAACTCTTTACTAAAATCCATAGATTCTCTCTTTCTTCATCTGAAAAATGATCATTTTAAAAAGACGCTGCGACGTAGGTAATCCTCACACTTTTAGGTGCGATTTTTTTTCGTTGTGCCCAAATTGTAGGTACTTTTTAGGAGCGTGAGTCAAAAATGTTTGGTTATTAGTACCTTGCATTCTAGCGTTGTAGAGCTTTTGCATGGCCATACTGTCAACGAAGAGTTGTGGGTGGACTTCGTAGATGGGAGGCAAGACCATTCCTTGGGTGTCGGGACGGTGCATGACAGCGACGTGGAGAGCGTAGATGAATTGTCCGGCGTTCACACGGTCACGAGCCCAGCAAGCAGCCTGTCAAAAAAACTCAAAATTAAAGACTTTCAAAGTTGTGCGGGAGAGTGTAAACTTTCGCTTTTTACCCATGAGAAAAGGTTCGCCTTTGGTTCTAAAAATCCTAGCCAAAAGACTGTAAAGAGGTAGAAATGAGGGCTATCAAATCAAAGAATATTTGAGGGGCTTGGAGGACAAGGAGCATAAGTGCAGTTTTTGAAAAAATTGAGATATTAATGATTTCAAGTAAAACTAGTCTTAATGCATATTCTGGTAAAAATTTGATCGCAAACTCCAATTTTTAAGAATCAAAAATTCAGTTTGAACTTTCTTTCTGCCATAAGTATCCATGTAATTTCGCAACTTCAAACACGTATTTCTCGAAATAGCAAGCACAGCACTTATGCGCCTTGTTCTCCAAGCACCTAATTTAAGAGAGCTATTTGATTTGAATCGAGTTAAATAGGAAAGAACTGAACAACACTCAAAGAAAATGATTTGGTCTTGGAGTTTTGGATCTTTGGATTTTTATCAAATATTGGTCTGCAAATGTCAGTTTGTTATAAAAACTAAAAGCTGGGCTCATCGCATCACTTTTCATGTTAAAAATGTGTCTCAGGCAATTATCAATCGCTGGAAATTTGCAAACGGTTCATATGCTGTCTCGATAAATCGCAAAAATTCGCATCAATATAAGGTAGGTTAGATGGGTAAATGCCTTCTAAAGCATGATCTTGGCTTGGAGCGCCTTCATTTTTTACGATACTCAACGCTTTGTCACGGAGTTAGTTTAGTTGCCTATCCAATATTATCTCTGACAAGATCACGGATTTTACTACACTCTCTCTTAAATGTGCCTGTTACTCTCATATATTTACGAGGGAGAAAGAGTCGATTCATATTAAAGACAGTATAATGAGTACTTTCATCGTGTTACTTTATTCCTGAATTTTACGCTTCTCTATTTATTCACTAGTAGCTTGGATATTTTCGACGATTGCTGATTGCCTGTGATTTATTCTATAGGCGAAAAAGTCTATACAAACAAGACGTTTTAAAGTTTTGATTTAAAATTACAAATTTTAGGATGAATTAGATATATGTTGAATCAACCCGGATTAATCTTAGTCGTGAGCATGAATCCGAAAAGTTTGAATATTCATTTGGTTTTATTTAAAATTTAATTATTATAAGATTGTGGTTGTCTTACCCTGTAGAAGGTATCGAAATCCTTGGCGAAGAAGAAGAGGTCGAACAAGGTGATAGCCTCCTGTCTTTGGTGGTTGGACATGATGTCGAACACTTGGTTCCTGGAGGTTTTGCCTTGTGCGATTTGCTGTTGCATGGCCTTCACTGCTTGAGAGTTCTGAAATTTTAAAATCGAATGTGAAATTTTGATTTTTTTGCGACTTCCTCGTTCATGAGTAATGACGCCCAACAGTAAGGCAGGTTTATGAAGAAATCGCATAGGTGATACTTTACACGTTGTCTGCCATTTTAATGTTTCATAATTAGTTACCTCTGTGCTATGAGCAAAATGTTGTAATTCTTGTTTTTTGTCTCACCGTGCCCTCTTAGCTCTTCCTCAAAATCTTCCATTTATTAGCACGTAAACTATTTTGTGGTGTCTGGCACTTGTGACGTGACATGACTGACGAGATTAAAGGGCCCAAGACTTATCATTTTATACAATAATACCTGTAAATATTTTCCGTAATACCTCAAAATGAACTTACACCTTTTATGTTACTTTTAAACAAGTGCATATAAAATGTGAAATAAAATCATCTCGCTTCATTAATATCAATATTTAAAATTCTTTGAGCTCACGAAAATTTCATTGGAGATAGATTTGTGCGAAGGTGGAAGCATTATTGAATCTCGAAAATATCTGATTTGCACGGAGAAAAAAAAAAAAACTTCGTACATGGGACACGGATTTCGGGTCATGTGGATCTCAGGATTTTTCGGGTGGTGCTTCAGAAAACTTGATCTTCAGCTGCCGATGTTAGAGTCACACATCTAAAGTACCTCGGTACTTCGGTTAAAACGTTTAGGGAGTCAACTGAAGTATCAAAGTATTTTAGATGCGCGATCCTAACTTCAGAAGTTAAATCTCAATTTTTAGGGTGCACGATCTGAAAACTTCAGAGATCCATATGACCTGAGCTTCGAGTCTCATGCATGGAATTTTTTTTCTCCGTTTGTCAAAATTTACTTAAGATGATCCCTATCTCAAAAATTTAGATCAAAAAGTATTCCTTTCATTTTAAATTTTTGGCTTGCTCTCTTGAAAGATTTTGGGACGATTTAAAATTGAGACAAGAACTGCACGAAAAGGTAGAAAAGATGACTTTTCCGATTACGTTCTATCCTGTCATCTCAGTTAGAACAATATTTCTCTACATTATTTGTTCAAGACTCAATGCGTTTTTTACTCATGAAAAATGTCAATGGGCTATGTGCGATAGGTAACTCACAGAGAAGTTGGAGGCTTCTTGGTCAATATTGAAGTTGTTTCCGATTTGTTGCTGTTCTTGGTCGTGGTTCTGCTCATGGATGTTCCTCATCAGTCGGAGAATTTGCAATTGTCTCTGCAGGAAATTCTTGTCAGCTGTAATACGATTCAGAATACATTCATTTAGTCAATTTCCGGAAGAGTACGCAGTTTTTGGTCAATAAAATACATGAAATTTACTTTGAGAATTGAGAAAAACATAGCTTTCTGACAGTAGGTATCTCTTGCACCATAATCATATGGGATGCATACAAGTTTTTGGAAGACCTATAGACTCTCGAACGAAATTTTAATGCGTGATAGCATTTAATCTCATACTTTTATTATAACATGGTCTCAAAAGTCCAGATTTCTACAGGTCGATGAGAGGATTTCCTTTTACCAACTTTTTATATTAAATTCTTACGAGTTCAATTTATCTCGAAAAACGACTGCACTCACTTTGCTCAGTCGATGTATTTGTAAATTTAATTATTCCAACCGATAAAATTGTGTACATGAGAAAGAAAATTGGATCTTACTCCATGAAATTATTTGAAAACGTAAGGAATCCTTTAGAAAACTATGAAAACTATTTTTTCGAAAAAAAATCTTAGACTGCAATTTCAAAACTGAGAAAGTGCAAGTTAAAATAATTTTATTTTGAAGTCAAAAATAAATTACACCATCACAAACACATATTACATAAATCGCTTAAACATTTTTTAGGGGATGCAACAATGAAATATGCATGCATTCAATAATTTGAAAAAAAAAGAAACTCATATTTCACTGGAGTGAAATGATTGAAAATTTCTAAGTACAAAACTATGATTTGACCCGATCGTTTCAAAAAATAAGACTTGAAGAGAAATTAAATATCTCTGCATTGAGTCAGTAAATTGTGTTTGCGAAAAGACAAGGAAATTTTTAGTATCCAGAGCTTGTACACTCGGTAGACACTTAGAAAAGTTAGCGATTTTCAAAATATATAAATTCAAAGTATTCTTTGCAGAAATGAAGCTTTCCTTACCTGGGACCATTCCACCGTTGTTATCACCACCATCGGTAGCATCTCGGCCCAAATGGTGGGCAGCGAGAGCCACAGAGGTGCACAAGCACAAAGAAATGAACCAAGAACGCATGGTGAACAACTGGAAGTAAAAGATGCTTTCTCCGGGACTGCACAGAGCTTTTATACTAAATCCTCATGAACTTTTGCCTTCCTGTTATCAGCCAGACGGCAAAAAAATAAAAAAAGAGGAAAAATGCTGTTTACAACTTATTGCTCTTTAATTGTAATACATTGATCGATATTTAATTGGTTGGGAAGATTAGTTATGCTACTAGATAAGATGCGTTCCCCCCTCCCTTCCTCCTGCCGCAGCTAGACGGCTTTTGGTTTGCAAAAAACACCATCGATAACGTGAAAGAGGGAGAGTGGGCTCAGCATTTTCTGTTTTTTGTGTCTCTTTCGCTCTAGGTTGATAGCTTAACCTTCTCTGTCTGATAATTCAAAAAATTGCAAGCTTCTTCATTTTATGCTCGGCAATTTCTTGGGCTCGTTCAGGTTTTGTGTATCTGCCCCGTTCTAAGTTTTGCCCTCTCATCTCATAATTTGAATCGCTGTTGGTGTTTGGTCGATCCAGAACTTTCTCCAAGATGTTTTCAAAAAAAGCTTGGCTTGCATTTTTATGGTTAACTAAGATGCCTTTACCTCTTTCAATCAGAAAAAAATTGCTTACGTGAAGTCTGTGTAGTTGCAGGTGGGAAAAGTTCTGAAGGTCTCTTCCGTTACAGTCTGGCTTAGATATCTGTGACATTTAGTGTAACCACAATTTGTATGATATGGGTGTAAAATTTCATCCGAAATCGCGTCAAATCCAGTTGTGTTGATAATTTTGTAAGGAATTATAGTACCATGAATAAATATATTGATTTTTCATGATCACGAAGAATGTACAATAAAAGTTATATTGAAGAACGAACTTCAAAAGTAAAATTTTAAAGCATCCTCATCCTCCCGTGGTACTCTACGTTTTGCTGCTCAGTTAGTTTAGTTGTTTAATCAAAGTAAACCCGCAACTTAGGACATCATAACTGAAATCAAGCTTCCATTGAAGGGTCTTGAGATTAATACAATTTTGGATCGAGACACCTTCTTTTTCGTGTAGGTGATTATTTACGCGTCGTCAAGCTTCAGTTTCGTTATACAGTTTAGTTGCTCAGTCTCGCCAACTGGGGGCCCCTAGAAAAAGATTTTATTCTTCATTTTAGGTGGGATTTCATGATAAAGTCCCACTTCTTTGCTTGATACTCTCTAGCCAATCGAAGTGTTCTTCGTTCGAGGTGGGATTTTATGTTGAAGCCCCGTTGTTTCACTCAAAACTCTCTAGTCACTTAAAAACTTTGATGAATTGCTAGTAAAACCAGAGCATTTTTAGCGAAATGAAGCATTGTTTTTTTCTCTCTTTTTTTTTAAACTAGAACATTTTAAAGGGCGAAGATGAACCTAATGAGAGCCGTTGCGATGATATGAAGTGTTTTTTTTTTCATGCACGCTTTGAAACAAAACCTATGTGCGATGCAAAAAAATTAGCGTCTTTTATCTTTGATATTTAAGATTTGTTTTCTTGTTTTTAGCGAATTTTCTTTCTCTCTTCCTCCTCTTACTGATAAATTTCGAGAAGAAAAACACAGGGATCTGAATATTCTGGTATTGTCTCAGATTTTCTACCACTGGAGAAGATCAAAACGATATCCGAAAATTATGTGAAAAGCGAATACATGCTTGTTAAAAGATTTGAGTGAATTCATGATACCAGGAATAGTTGAGCTGTGCAATGGTTTAAAAATAAAAGTGTACTGATTTTGACCAAATTTCATTATAATATCCAGGGTATTAGCCCTATTTTCCCAGCTTTTGCAGAAAAAACTTTGGATTTAATACCAAGTGACAAATAACACATCAAATTGGATCTTAACTACTACGCCGGCGGTCCCATCAAATGGTGCGGGTTGACGTCTCCGCACAAATTTTCCGATTTTGACATTTCCCTACAAAAACCTGAATTAAAATTTTTCGCACAAAATCAGTCAGCAAAACTTCATTTTTTGCACGATATGGCAACACAGTGCAGACAATAATTGCATCATGTTTACCTTAATCCACATACAAAACAAAAAAAAATTAGAGGAATTAGAGGAAAATATTTTACTAACATAGGTATTGTTCATCGGGGATCGCTTCATTTTTTGTAAAAGATAACACATACCAACGAAAGTTGTTTTATCTTTTGATGGCAAGAAAAAAGAGATGCATGCGGTAGCAGTTTTCAAAAACATGATTCTGCCTTTGCTTCCTTTTCTCTCACTTACCTATTATACTTTATAATTTAAAGTCATAAGAGTACTGCGTAAAGCATAACGCTCTCTGAAAATCTGCACTTAAGAGGGGTGAGGTCAGGACACCTTCTACAAACGAGGTTGTCAGATGTAACTTGAGCGGGAAATATTGGTTTCAGGACACATTCGTCAAAGATTTTTCATCCGCGCACCTGTTTTGTCCAGTAGCTTACATCCACACGTAAATTAAGCAACAGTGACTTGGTCTAAGCGTTGTATTATGGTCCGAGTGTAAACTTATATTGATAATATTGAAATGAGAAAATTGAGAGGGAACGACGTATTGTTATGGTAACCCATTTTTTAAATGAAATGTTACTTTCTTCTTTTGATTAATCTTTTCAAACTGTCTTTGGTGAACATTTTGTTTCAAACTACCCTTAAAGTTTTCAATATAGAATATACCTACCTCATATGTACTTTTTTTTAAAATGAATATATTACCTCATTTTAAAAATAATTACACTTTTAAAACGTGGCAAATATTTGTAAAACCTCTCCCAGGCGATGGCATCTATGTTAATCTCAATGAACCGTAGTTGTGTTGAAAAAAGCTGTACAAAAATGAATACAAGCGGGAAAAACCAAGAAGCACGCAATATTTGGTTTTAATCCATTTAGAGTCAAATATGTTCGATTTTGCGAGTTTGGTTGCGCATACACCACTCTGCAGCACAGTGAAAGCACAAAATGTAAAAGAAAAAAATTGCTTTGGAAATTACTGAATTTGGTGCGGAACAACCCTTAATAAATACAAAATACACATTATATTAATTTATATTTTCCTTTAATACATATTTTTTCTCATCAATTTTTATGAGAATATTACAGCAGAGTGTGCAAACATTTCAAAATCATGAGTTGAAAAACGTTAACTCCGCGAGTTTAAATATTTGAGCCTGACACAGAGCGGAGCATTGAGCTGTCAGCAGGAAGCGCGCACTGGCGCCTACAAACCTAAGGGGATACTTCACGCATTGCGCAATGCTTGAAGTATCCCCTTAGGTTTGTAGGCGCCAATACGCCGGCCCGCCGCCCCGCAGCGCGCGTGCCACGGCGCCTCAAGCAACTATTTCACCACAGAGGTGTTGCACAGTATCATACGAAATTGAAGGCGCTCCAACATATTAAGAATAGCAGGCATCCTTTAAGAGTACGGACCTTTCCTCGCAAAATAAATCATGATACTACAGCACGAAAAGAGAGCGGTAGTATGTCACTATGTCCTAGCATCCATATTTAATATCGTTCGGCATAATTTTTGAATTTCATCAGAGAAAAAAGTGACTCAACTAAGGCAGAAACATTCTTGAGTATGCCTTAAAGAGGATTTTATTTTGAAACAATAAAATAGCTGAATGAAAGCGGGTTTCTGCTTGATGTAAGTGACTCTTCTTTTTGTAAAAGCATCTTAATTTTCATCTTTAAACAAGCATTATTGTCTTTATTGATTCATAAATAAATCTTCCCGGCGGTAAAATTGAGCATATTTCTGCTTGAATCGAGTCACTTTTTCCTCTAATGAAGTTCAAAAATCATGCTAAACGTAATTGAATACAGATACTAGGATTTAGTACGTCTTTCAAGTACCGCTCTCTTTTTGTTGTTGTCGTCGCTCGATTTAATTTGCAGGGGGACTTCGTGCTTTTGGAAGGTGCCATCAATCATGAAACGTTGAGATACCTTCAATCTCGTATGATACTGTGCAACACCAAATTTCGAGCAATAAAGTTGGCATATTTCTCTTCGAAAAAAGAAAATTGGGGCGGATATTTTAAGAGAGAGGAAATTATATCCGCAAAGAGGGTAAGTGGTTTTGCACTCTGCCCATCGATTTTCTTTTCCCTGTGCTTTTAAATGCTGTACTGCTGGAGCTTTCAGTGTCATGCACTTGATCATCAATAATTCATTTTAACCATTTATTTGTCAGCATTTTCAATCAAGGATAGTTGGTTTCCTCAGCGATCTTGAAAGGATCTGGCTTTTGCCATTTTTTCACTCGCTCGCCCACCAAGATCTTTGTCGTGAGGAAACCTGGAAAGATTCCGGAATTGAGGAGCTTAGAGGACAAGGTGCATAAGGGCATTTTTTTATATAATTGAGATGAATTTGAAAGTATATTTTGTGAAAAATCTACAACTAAAGTCCAACTTTAAAGCATCAAAAAGTGAGTTTAAACTTTCTTTCTGCCATAACTAAGGCTCCATGTAATTTTGAAACTTTAAACACATAATTCTTGAATTGCAAAAACTGCATTTATGCGCCTTGTCCTCCGAGCCCTCAAGTGTACCGATTATTTTCCACATCACACGAAAGCCCGCACCAATCTCCATTTTGGTGGTAGAAGGGTCGTTTTTCTATGTTTTCTCTCGTATGATCAATTATGTCTGATTTCAAAATAGCCTTCTAAAAGAACATACATTTTTTGGAATTCTGAGATTGTCAACAAAGCTAATAAAATGGTTTTTCTTTTTTTTTCTCGAATTCGCAATTTTGGCGATAACGTTGTTTGAAAAATAAACGGTTCAATTAAGACTAAAACAGAAAACTTGGTTCTAACCGCTGATGCCCGTGAGTAATCAATTCTAATAATCAACATATTATACGAGACAAATATTTACTCAGTTTCTTGACGTTTACATGAGATTGTCAATGAAACTGCGAGGATATAATCACACACAAAAAATGACATATCGACGGTGTGAGTCGGCAATCACATAACTCGGTTTGCGACGTCGCAGACTTCTTGTCACACTTTATTTTTTAAATGGAAAACTACTCAAC